TATTGAAATTGGTACAATAGGACTTTTCTGGTCGTGGTACCGGCTGCTGCGTGAATTCCGGCGTCAAACTTTTAATAATAAAAATTGTTAAGATAGAGCCCTTTTATTGAGATAATAAAACAGGCCAAGGTGGCCTGTTCAAAAACTTGTCTACAAATTCAGCTCTATTGTATTAATAAAGTCTGCCTTACAACACGTATAAAGATGAATGATCTCTTTAGCTTAGCGGTTACCTTTAGCTTAGTCTGCCTTACAACAGATATAAAGATGAATGAGATCTTTAGCTTAACGGTTACCTAGACTACTGCGCTAGCACGGGTTAAATATGTTATGATCTCTTAGGTATTTATTTCGTTGCTTATTTTAAGCAACTTAATGAATATCTACGGGGAAGATGATGAGAGTGCCTCTTATCTACTATGTTTTTACCCAGCTCAACGACAACTTAATTCTCTAGGACCCCCTTTCTTGAATACTTTGACTAATTACAGGACCTGACACAAAATAGCAATTTATTCATCGCCAAGGGTTCTAGGTGGTTTTAAACCTTGAGTTACACAATGTGCCAATAGGCCTAAGTGGATCCAGTAGGGATCGTCGGTATACTCTAACCTAAATGAAATTGTATTTATCGTATTTTATTTATATATTTTTACTTATTCCAACAATTTCATTTATTCAGAAAATTGAAGCCTATTACTGCTGATAATAAATATTAAAATTATTTTCTTATATTTGTGAAAAGAGTACATTAAAAATATTTATTTGATTAAAAATTAATTATAATCGATTATAATTGTGTTACTATATTTATAAGACTAAAAACATATAAAGTATTGTATTATCGTATCGTAAAATAATTCCTTAGTACCTTTTAATTATTAAAAAATAAAAAACAATTTTATTCACTTTTCGACAGACCATACCATTGTATATGCCAGCTATCGATATGATAGGTTACCACAATTTGTTGCCACACCCACTTAAAATATTAAACAACGGACACACAGGTATGTATATCTGAAATACTTACTCCTTAGCCTAAAACAATATTTGTTTTAATTAGTAACATAAACTAATTATGTTTATGAGCATCCGTGTGTGCGCGTAGCGGGGTGCGTAAACAGTACAAAATTAAAACAACAATTTAGGGCTACTGTTTAGGGCTTAAGCCAGCATGCATTAGCCTGTTTAATTTAATATTTCTTTTAATATATTTTCTACCTTTTTCCCGAAACATCACAGTATCAATTACCATACCCAAGCTGAATGCGACCGAACTGAAAAACGGTGAATTTATGCCTTATGTGCGCGGTGGAAAGCTGCCGGGTGAATTCGAGGTGGAAGGCATACACTTCCATTGGGGCGATAAGAACAATCGAGGCGCTGAGCATGTTGTCAACGATATTCGTTATACAATGGAAATGCACATTGTACACCGAAACAAGAAATATGCCACATTGGCTGAGGCATTAGATTATGCAGATGGTGCAGCTGTGCTGGGATTCTTTTTCAATGTGAGCTTATTTAGTCTGCCGGAAGTTTCATTTCATTCAATTCCTTTTCTTCTTCTTATAATTCCGCATTGCATTGAGCACATACTTCATTTCTAGATACTTTAATATTTTATTTAATTTTTTGGAAATTGTTGCAAAAAGTAAAATTTTCTTATTCCAATTTTGCAGTTAGATGAAGATGAAGGTCCTGGTTTAACAACAATATGCCATCATTTACATTTGATACCGGATGCAAGTAATGAGATCAATTTAAATGTGACCTTCTCACTTTCTTCATTGATAAACACCGTTGATGTGGACAAGTTTTACACATATAAAGGTAAGTTAAATAATTTAACTTAATTTAGCAAATTAATAAGGGATTCAATTTTGTATTTATTATATAGCAAATACTAATATCTATCGAAAGGATTCATAAATAAAATTTTATGGATATCCTTTGAGAATATTTAATTTTCAAAAGCGTACATAGCAGTTTAATTTTCAATTCAAACAAATTTATTTATTTTTATTTTTTTGAGAATATGAAAAGTATATGGAAAACTTGATTTCTGATTTCTAATATCAAAATATAAACTATTTCAATTTAAAAAATTGATACACTGTAAAAACATAGTGTTGACTGGCTCACATCATCAAAGACCTGTTAAATCTGTAGTGATACCAGGACTTATGTTGAGGTTCTTCCGAGTTAGTGCAACTAGCCACTTTCATTCTTTCTTAGCTGTGGCATTTCTACAGAATTCCTTCCTTTTATTTGACTAATTTACGTATTCCTCACAAGCTTCGTTGGTTATTCGATAACTGATCTGATATTAGATAGTGCTAGACACCCTAGTGACAGCCTGTCAGTTTTCGCGTATAGCTTCAGGGCTCTGTCTCTTATGTATTTTTTAATGAGGTCTCTTAGCATCTTATTTATGCAGATGTAGCAGATGGCGCTTTGACGATTTCTTCGGAGAGCCTAATTTTGAGCAATTTGTAGCTTTTGGATAGTAGAATTAGCAGCTTTGCTATATGCGACACACGCCGGTTTGATTTACTTAATGGTATAGTTAAATTTTATTAAATTAACTAAATTTTTGTTCTTGTCTTTTCTTTGCTATTCGAATCCGTCTAAGTTTTAAATAGTTACTTTTCATCATAAAGACACGTTATTCTCGGCAAGAAAACATTAATATTTTTTTTTTATTGAAATTATTTAAATTTTATTGAATTTTTATAGAAGTGCTCTAAATATTAGAATGAAAAGTCATTTTATATTTACTGCTTTTGATGATATGTAGAAATTGAATGCGATATTAACAATCATTTAATAATTTAATAATATATTTACTATTTTCAATGATAAAAATGATTTACTTACATAAAAAAATGGTAATTAAATAATTCCATTTTAATTGGAAGGGTATATTTTTTTTATTGTAAAATAAACACTATTTTACTAGTGACTAGTGTGATTTACAATGGTAAGTAATTAATTTTTACAATATTTTGTCCATCCATCAGCAAATTGTTTTTAATAGATGATTTGACTACAAATAGCTATTGTTTAAAAAGAAATAAAGAGGGTACCGGCTCCCAACGGAGCGAAGCACTGCCGTCATGGTTAATCTTTTGTGCTGCAACAGACTCTAATCGAATGAAAACCAGAATGTCAGCCGTTGAGGATCTCTTAATGTCAGAAGGGGAGAGTAGCTCGACCCAGTGACTTCCCCCTGGCTCAGAACATTGCTGGGCAGTCACAGAGAATGTGACTGGAAGTCTCGTCTGCTTCCAAGTAGAGTCAACAATCCATCTCTTCGGTTAGGCCCATTTTATTAAGGTGATAACGCAGTCCACGGTGACCCGTTTAGTATCCTACCAGTAAACTCAACTCTGTTCTGCTGAAGAAGGATACCTTGCTACAATTGTAAGGATAAACAAGCTCTTTAGCCCGATGGTTACCTGGAATGTTGCGCCAGTAGCGACTTCTCTCGGCTGAAAACTATTTATCGATAAGAGACCTAATTGTAGACCAACTTAATCCACAATATGGTGTCGACCCAGAAATTATCATGGTAGATCCTGTCCTCGCAAGATTGTCTGCAGAGTACTGTCCAATTTGAAATATATCTTGTACTAACAAAAGTATAACGAAAGGAATTCTGAACGTTTATTTGAAATTATTTTGCAAACTCCCAATTAAATCGTTGTTAATTGATTTTTTAAATTTTTTTTTTATTATTAATTATTTTTAAAATGTTTGTTGCTAGTCAAATTTTATTACAAAAAAGATTGTTTCTTTTTTTTTGGTCAAAATAGAGAACTTCTATTTTTCTTTCTTTCAACTGCCAAAAAACTCAAAGTTCAATCAATTTTGATTTATTTTAATTTATTTGTGTTGATAATTTTCTTTTTGTATTTAATGTATGACATAAGTTCTTTTAATTGATAAGCCAAATAAAAAAAATATAAATAAATAACCAAGATTATTCGCAAATATTTGTTAAATTTTTGCACTCTATTTTGTTTGTTTAAAATAAAATAAAAACAAAACAAAACAAAACAAAAATTAAATTACGTATACGCAGTGAGATACTCAATTAAGCTCATTAGCATAACGTCAATGAAGTCTAATTTACTTACTATAAATTATTAATCAATTTAAAAAATTTGTTGTAAAACTTTGAAAAGTTGTTATTTTTTAACGCAATTCTAAAATATAAAATCAATTAATTGGTTTATTGAATCTTACATGATAACGCATTTATTTTGCGTGACTTTGTGAATTTCCCATGCGTAATCCGAAACGCGTAAATCCGAGCCACGCATTATATCTGTGATGTTAGTATTGATTTCCTAAATTTTTAATAATGTTTATTAGAATAATAAACTTCAGCAATTAATTGGTTATATATGTTGTTTTCAAAGGCGAGGCGTCGAGTGGTGCAGAGTGTTCACTGAACACCTTAACAAAGCTTTCTTTTTAGATCTTTTTTTTATTAGGTAAAAAATTTGCTATTTTGCTACTTAACATTTTTTATAATACTTTTGCAAACAGATTAACATAAACACAAAACGTACAATACAAACAAAATCACACATACATATTTTAGTTACACTCAACATTACTTATAATTAATAAAAGAGAAAACACATTCCTCTTAAAATATACTAAGGTTCAGAATAAAAACTGCACCGCGCTGCTTACAAAGCATGCAAATGAAATAACATTCACATTGCGAACCAAATTATGTTACATTTGACTAGAGGTTCAATCGACAAAAGTGAACCATAAGTTCATATGTACAAAGCGTGCAAAAACAATCAAAGTCACGGTTGCCGTTTTATATGAGCAAATGGTTCAGTTAAAAAACTGAACCGTGCATAGCAAATACAAAGTAAAAGAGTAAATGAATGTATGAGAGTTCCTTTCTTTTATGTAGAGGTTGGAAATAAACCAAAAACAAAGTCATTATTACAATTTTATACTAGCAAATGGTAAAAGTAAAGAAAAAAATTAAAGAAATTTTAAGTGAAAAATAATATTTAGAAATGGATAAATGTGTGATTAAAGATTTGATTCAAATATCTTTTTTTAGACGATTTTCTGAAAAAAAGGTTTTAATTCATAAAATGAATAGACCAACTCCAGATATGAAGAATTTGGTGTTAATTCGCCGTTATCCCATTTTCACAATGGAGATGTTGTCTTATACGAATGCGTGTCCAATCCAACGCCACTTCCAGATTTTAAACTCTAGTTCTATTGGTACATTTTCGAATATCGTGAGAAGTTCTGTGTGTGAGATTAACCATGACAAGAAAATTTTAAACATACGACAGAAACATTTCTTGACAAATACTTGCATTTTCTGTCGGATGCGTTCTGTGACTTTCAACGTTTCAGATCCATACAGAAGGATTGATTTGATGCTTGTTTTGTTGTAGTTTATTTTTAAACCAATTTTATTGGCCTTTTTTGCTAGGAGCTCAAGCTTATCTTTTATACCTTGCAAGGTACAAGGTGAGACAAGATGCAGATGTCGTCGACATAATACAAATCATATAGTTTTTGAAAGGAACACCAAATAATGCCGGCAGATTGAAGGACAGTGTTAGTTCTGTCATCCAGAACTGTGATGAGAAGCAGCGGTGACAGAGCGCAATTCTGGCGCACGCCTTGAGTGTTACTTAAGCTGTTGCATCAGCTGAGAGTAAATGTAAAGTTCTTTTTATCGTATTAGTTAACATCTATATGAACTGGTAAATGTCGCTAAAAGAGCTGACGTTTGTGGTTTTATCTCATTTCCGATATTTTTGTAGCACTGTAAGGCCGGCTGAGCTTACAATAATATTCCCCGATGGCTTATGCCAATTTGAAATGCAAGAGATAAATATCTAGTAATATGTAAATGCGTTTCCTTGAAAAGTTGAAAGTTACTCTATTATATAAATGCCCCTAAATGCAATATCAGTCTATCAAACAAGAAAATTTTAGATTTGTTTTGGTAAATTTTTTTTGTTTTTTGACATTTCGAATAGGTTTGTTTAGTATGCTATAAAACAAATGAAAAGATAGTTATTTGTGTTGACAAAAAGTTTTAAAAATACAAAATATCTAGACTAATATTCACAGAAACCTGATTTTATACATCGTAAGAAAATGATTCGTTAATAAAATGCATTTAATTAATAAGTAATTTTTATAACATGTATACATTACCAACAATTAATATAGCTTTATATTTTTCATTTCATCTATACAGTAATAAAAATGTCATTAAAAAAGTAAAACAAAGAATTTAGTTATATATTCTTCCATAAACATTAACATCGGCACGAGGAACATTATAAGCACTCCAAGTTGTGTATAATGCATAACCTCAATTCGGGAATGGTAAAAAGGTAGTTCTATCATTCAAAAATTTCGCTTCTACTTTATCTACAAGATATTTGAAAGATATATGAAAATATTTTTTATAATAAACGTAAAAAATATATATGAATCTATTTATAAAATAAAAAAAATTCCAAAACTTTAAGATACATTAGAAATATTTTATTATCTGTTGCTTCTAGTAAATACTTTTAAGTAAACATATTACTTGCACTAATAAATGAAATAAATAGTAATTTTTTTTCCTTAATGCCCAATACCATTTTAAGTTACTTAAGTTCATGTAAAAGTAAAAACATTTTAGTTAGTTATTTTTCCATAAACATAAACATCGGCTCGAGGAATATTGTAAGCAATCCACGTTGTATAAAGAGCGTATTCTCCACTCGGAAATGGTAAGACTAAAAATCTAGAATTCAAGAAGTTCGTATTCAATTTCTCCACAATTAAATCGTGCTAGAAAGTTATTATTTTAATTAACATTTTGCTATTTAAACGTTATTTGCTTATTTATATTTTTTACATACATCATAAGGACACGTGTGATTCATGTTAGAATGTTCTCGAAAAAAGCTGTGAAAGTATTTCGTAACTGGATTTTTAGGTGATTTAAAAAAATCGCAACCATTGAACGATATATTATACAAAAATGGTTTATAACCGCTCAATTTCTTTAAGACGGCATAACGTATCTGTTAGTATATATAATTTTATAATATTAAATAACAATGACGTAATAAAATATACATACCGTAACATTAGTTATAGGCACTTTGAAGAGTTTCACCTTTAATGACAAATACTTATAGGAACGATTTACTGACTTTAGGTAGCAATAATCGAAGTCGGCAAATTCCTTATCAATGGGCATACACTTGATATTTGTGAATTCGAATAAACAGATGACCTATAAATAAATTAAATTTATTTATTTGTTAATTAAAATAAAAAATATTTATTATTACTGTATGTAAAAGGAATACTCGAAGGATTATAATTCTCAATATCATTTTAACCATTATTATTTCTAATAATTTATTAACAAAATATGTAATTTTTTGGAGTTACGTTTTCTGATTGTTACAAAAGATCATTTAATTTTTAACTAAATGTTAAAATCAATAAATTGTATTTTTATTATTCTTTAATAATTAAAACTCCATTAATGATAGTATCACGGTTTTTTATAAATATTTTTATATTGATTAATTGATATTGATAATCTTCAACTGTTTTCGTGTTTTTAAAAGTGATATTTTTATTATCCATTTAAATAGCATTAAAATCCATTGTATCAGTAGCGAGAAATCGCTTGATTCTAGCGGCCAATTCTAATCGCCAGAACGTGAAATTATGAATATGACAGTGGTGTGGCTAATATTATACTAAGAAAAAGCGGAGAGGTAATATGTCATCTTTCATTGTCGAAGTTTTTCTACTGTTCACTGAATAAAATAGTAAAATAATGACACAGATTACAGAGGGAAACTTACATCTATGTTATCTGATAATGTTCTGAGAAGCCTGAGATTTTGAACTAAGCCTCCGAAATAAATTGAACTGTAATATCAGTTAGAGTTTTATGACCAGGGGGGATGTACAAGAGAAATTTTTATACAAAATTAATTATAATAAGAGGTAACAGCATTTTTATTTATAAACATATCTATATGTATATAACTATGTGTATATAAAAAGTAATTATTCTTTTAGGGCTATAAAAGCTTTACTAAAATACGCTCTCTGTTTGAAAATTAAAACTAACCATTCTATGGTTTTTTTTGATAGTTGTGTTTAAAAGTTTGCAAGCTTTTTCAATATTTCAATGTTTCAATATTATGATCAAAATTTATAGTACATATTAGTGAGGAAATAATAAAAACGTGTCTTTCTCAGAATTGTTGTCTGTTATCTTCAGATATTATTGTCAAAAAAGAGAGGTAACCGTTTAATATCCTTTCCCTTCTAAATACGCAATTGGGGTAAAAAAATTTGAATTGGCAGTTTGTGTTACGCTTTCGTTAGAACTATCAGGTTGGTTTTCCTTAACCTAATGGAGGAGTCGTTACCTTTTTCAGTGTTAGTCGCATACTATGGTTCCACAATGGGCCATTAATGGGGCTCAACTGAGATTTTTGGATACAAGGCCGCCACTTCAACCTACTTACCTGCGAACTTTTTCGCCGCTTTTAAGAAAGAAGTACGAAAATAATTTTTATAATAAATGTAGTCCTGTAATCTATATGAATATATTTATACTAAGATTCCAAAACTTTAAGATATATTAGAAATATTTTATTATCTGTTATTTCTAGTGCGTACTTTTAAGTGAACACATTACTTGCACTAATAAATAAAATAATTAGTAATTTTTTCTCCTTAATGCCCAATACCATTTTAAGTCACTCAAGTTAGTATAAAAGTAAAAACATTTTAGTTAGTTATTTTTGCATAAATATAAACATCGGCTCGAGGAATATTATAAGCAATCCACGTTGAATAAACGGCGTATTCTCCACTCGGAAATGGTAAGACTGAAAATCTAGAATTCAAGAACTTCGTATCCAATTTCTCCACAAATAAATCGTGCTAGAAAGTTATTATTCTTATTAAAGTTTTATTATTTGAAAGTTATTTGCGTATATATATATTCTTTACATACATCATAAGGACACGTGTGATTCATGTTAGAATGTTCTCGAAAAAAGCTGTGAAAGTATTTCGTAACTGGATTTTTCTGTGATTTCAAAAATTCACAAGCATCTAGAGATATATTATACAAAAAAGGTTTATAACCGCTCTCTTTTTTTAATAATGCATAACGTATCTGTTAATATACATAATTTTATAATATTGAATAACTAAAACGTAACAAAATATACATACCGTAACACTAGTTATAGGCACTTTGAAGAGTTTTACCTTTAATGACATATATTTATAGGAACGATTTACTGACTTTAGGTAGCAATAATCGAAGTCGGCAAATTCCTTATCAAGCGGCATACACTTAATATTTGTGAATTCGAACAAACAGATGACCTATAAATAAATTAAATTTATTTATTTGTTAATTAAAATAAAAATTTTTTATTATTACTGTATGTAAAAGAAATACTCGAAGGATTATAATTCTCAATATCATTTTAACCATTATTATTTCTAATAATTTATGAACAAAAGATATAATTTTTAGGAATCTTTGCAAAAGACTACACTTCTGAATGTTACGAAAGATCATTAAATTTTGAACTGAATGTTAAGATCATTTGAATTGCATTTTTATTATTCTTTAATAATTAAAACTCCATTAATGATAGTATCACTGTTTTTTTAAAAATATTGTCATATTGATTAATTGATATTGATAATCTTCAACTGTTTTCGTGTTTTTAAAAGTGATATATTTATTATCCATTTAAATTGCATTAAAATCCATTGTACCAGTAGCGAGAAATCGCTTGATTCTTGCGGCCAATTCTAATCGCCAGAACGTGAAATTATGAATATGACAGTGGTGTGGCTAATATTATACTAAGAAAAAGCGGAGAGGGAATATGTCATCTTTCATTGTCGAAGTTTTTCTACTGTTCACTGAATAAAATAGTAAAATAATGACACAAATTACAGAGGGAAACTTACATCTATAATATCAATTAGAGTTTTATGACCAGGGGGGATGTACAAGAGAAATTTTTATACAAAATTAATTATAATAAGAGGTAACAGCATTTTTATTTATAAACATATCTATATGTATATAACTATGTGTATATAAAAAGTAATTATTCTTTTAGGGCTTTAAAAGCTTTATTAAAATACGCTCTCTGTTTGAAAATTAAAACTAACCATTCTATGGTTTTTTTTGATAGTTGTGTTTAAAAGTTTGCAAGCTTTTTCAATATTTCAATGTTTCAATATTATTATGATCAAAATTTATAGTACATATTAGTGAGGAAATAAAAAAAACGTGTCTTTCTCAGAATTGTTGTCTGTTATCTTCAGATATTATTGTCAAAAGAGAGAAGTATCCGTTTAATATCCTTTCCCTTCTAAATACGCAATTGCGGTAAAACAATTTGAATTGGCAGTTTGTGTTACGCTTTCGTTAGAACTATCAGGTTGGTTTTCCTTAATCTAATGAAGGAGTCGTTACCTTTTTCAGTGTTAGTCGCATACTATGGTTCCACAATGCGCCATTAATGGGGCTCAAGTGAGATTTTTGGATACAAGGCCGCCACTTCAACCTACTTACCTGCGAACTCTTTCGCCGTTTTTAAGAAAGAAGTACGAAAATAATTTTTATAATAAATGTAGTTCTGTAATCTATATGAATATATTTATACTAAGATTCCAAAACTTTAAGATATATTAGAAATATTTTATTATCTGTTATTTCTAGTGCGTACTTTTAAGTGAACACATTACTTGCACTAATAAATAAAATAATTAGTAATTTTTTCTCCTTAATGCCCAATACCATTTTAAGTCACTCAAGTTAGTATAAAAGTAAAAACATTTTAGTTAGTTATTTTTGCATAAATATAAACATCGGCTCGAGGAATATTATAAGCAATCCACGTTGAATAAACGGCGTATTCTCCACTCGGAAATGGTAAGACTGAAAATCTAGAATTCAAGAACTTCGTATCCAATTTCTCCACAAATAAATCGTGCTAGAAAGTTATTATTCTTATTAAAGTTTTATTATTTGAAAGTTATTTGCGTATATATATATTCTTTACATACATCATAAGGACACGTGTGATTCATGTTAGAATGTTCTCGAAATAAGCTGTGAAAGTATTTCGAAACTGGATTTTTCTGTGATTTAACAAATTCACAAGCATCTAGAGATATATTATACAAAAAAGGTTTATAACCGCTCTCTTTTTTTAATAATGCATAACGTATCTGTTAATATACATAATTTTATAATATGGAATAACAATGACGTAATAAAATATACATACCGTAACATTAGTTATAGGCACTTTGAAGAGTTTCACCTTTAATGACAAATACTTATAGGAACGATTTACTGACTTTAGGTAGCAATAATCGAAGTCAGCAAATTCCTTATCAATGGGCATACACTTAATATTTGTGAATTCGAATAAACAGATGACCTATAAATAAATTTAATTTATTTATTTGTTAATTAAAATAATAAATATTTATTATTACTGTATGTAAAAGGAATACTCGAAGGATTATAATTCTTAATATCATTTTAACCATTATTATTTCTAATAATTTATTAACAAAATATGTAATTTTTTGGAGTTACGTTTTCTGAACATTACCACAGATCATTTATTTTGTAACTAAATGTTAAAATCAATAAATTGTATTTTTATTATTCTGTAATAATTAAAATTCGATTAATGATAATTTTTCATAAATATTTTTATATTGATTAATTGATACTGATAATCTTCAACTATTTTCGTATTTTTTGAAGTTTTGTTTTTAATATGTATTTAAATTTTAATAGAAGCCATTGTACCAGTGCCGAAAATTCGCTTGAGTTTAATAACCAATTTTTATTACTAGAACGTGAAATTACGAGTCGCGTTGGGGGCACCGTCTTATAAAAATCACATGTCTTTCGCATCCGTACCTATAATTTCATCTAACAAAATAATATTTGTGAGTCCATAACAGTGGTGTAGCTAGATATTAGCTTTTTAGTAGATATTACGGTTATAAACTATTTAAAAACTATTTCAATATGTATATTTAATTTTACATACACTAAAAGGACATGCGTGATTCATGTTTGAATATTGGCGAAATAAGTTGTAACATAAAAGTAACTCGTAACTGGATTTTTAGGTAATCGAAGGAACTCACATGCGTCTATTGACATATTGTATAAAAATGGTTTATAACCGCTTGCTTTCTTTAACAAAGCAAAACGTACCTGTTGAGATACATCATATTATAAAATTAAATAGTTTAAAAGTAAAGTATACGAGTATACAGACCGATACATAAGTTATAGGCACTTTAAAGAGTTTCACTTTTAATGACATATACTTATAGGAACGATTTACGGACTTTAGGTAACAATAATCGAAGTCGGCAAATTCTTTGTTAAGGGGAATACATTTAATATTAGAGAATTCGAATAAACAGATGATCTATAAGTAAATTTGAAATAATGTATTTTGTTATTGAAGAGGAAATCCACTTTTAGTGAAGTTAAGATGAATAAAATCAAGATTACAATTCTCAATGACGTTTTAACCAAGTGCATTTTTACGCATTTATTGATAAAAATACTGTAAACAAATGTATCTTCAATTAAACTAAACTGTATTAATTTAAAATCAAATAATTATACTTATTTACTATTACAATAATTATAAACCCATTAATATTTTTATCATCAAAAACTAAATTAAAATCTAAATTTTTATTTCTATTTAATACACTTATTGCAAAAACTTTATGATGCTCGTGCGAATATAAGCGAAGTTTTTCTTCTTAAGTGAGGGTATTATGCATGGAACCGATATAAAAATGAACAACAAAGGGTTAATATAACGTTTTGGTTTAAATCCGATGGAAGTACTCTGAAGGATCGCAACTAGTCGTTGTTGAAAGATGAACTCACTACAAATAGCTTTTGTTTATTTCTTCTGAAAGCAGTCATATGTTTAATTAATAAACAAAATAATAACAAATTTCTTATAAAAGCCTACAGGACCATCCTCAAATAAATTAAATTTATTATTTAGATCTCTCTGGACTAGACAAGTTAGGCATTTTGTGTACAATGATGATAATAATTTTTGTTTTATAATAATTAATATAAAAAAAGCAAGAAAAAAAATATTATTTAAAGTGTGAGAATCGCAAATAGACGAACCTAGAGAATAACTATTCAAAAATTAAATATATCAATAGTTGATATGACTACTAAATTATATATATCAGTGCAAGTATATATATTGTGATAAAAATTTTTTGTCATTAATATGAATTGTGATATATTCCACAATAAACAATCTCCAAAAATTCAAGCTCACTAATCTTAAACTCCCTCTCTTAATTTAAACTACATAAATATGATTATTCTAATATATTTTTATTGTCTGCCGGATATAATTTAATGTTATGTTATTTATTATGCGAAGAATATTAAGTTTTTTATCAGGTATATAATAATTTTACTTTCCTGGATTTTTTGGATTTTGCTTTAAATATATATATATACACATGAGTTTGTCTAAAATAATCTGCAAACATTTGTCAATAAACAAAATAAATCAATTAAATTTTAATTTGATTCTCAAATTACTGTGATTTCACTTCAATATCGAATATCGTGAAGTCATTAGCCTATGATTAGCCTAAGTGTTTGTCAAATAAATTAAATGACTAAACCGTATCATTGGCAGACAAGGATGTATAACAATTGTTACTTGAGTATCGCTTGGCATACTTAATGATGTGGGTGCTCAGGTGAAGGAAGATTAACATAGCAAAGCTCTTCAAATGTCAGGAAAGCAGCGAGAAAAAAATACTCGTATATATAAATATTTAAGAAATTTATTATTAAATGAAACGTGAATGAAATAAGAAATAGTATAAAATAATAAGATATGATAATAAAATATTTTTAAATTATTTCAGTATCTACATATATACTGAGTTTCACACGTTTACCGATTGATATAAGTATAGGATTGGTGAAATTTAATATTTTAATAATAAAATTATTTAAAAATTAATATGAAGCTTTATCTATTAAAAAATGTATGGTCGAAATTATTACTTTTATTACAAATAAAAAAAAGATTAAATATATAACTAAAAATAATGAAATACAAATTAATAGTTTCATTCTTTTATAAACCAAATAAACACTTAATTTTAAAAATTAAAATGAGTGGAAAACAAATTAATTGAAATTATTTTTATTACAGGTTCTCTAACAACACCTCCATGTTCAGAAGCAGTAACATGGGTACTATATCCTGATCCAATACCAATATCTCCAAAACAAGTACGTAAAAAGTAACTTAGTTTTTGAATTAAATTTATTTCATTTAATTTTCAAATTTTTAATTTTTATTAACATGAATTTTTTATTTTTACAGATTTCACGTTTCCGTCAACTATTGGATACTCAAGATGGTGCACTTGTTGATAACTACCGTCATTTACAGCCACTTGGTAATCGTCTCGTTTTCATGCGGATTGGCAACAATCGTCACACGAATGTAGACCATTTAAGTAATCAAATTGACTATAGGAAATGGGATTGGTTTCATTGATTCTTCATTTCAATAGAGTTTCCATTATATTTTATACCGGAAAGTTAGATGCTGTTTTTTTTTTATTAAAAATAGACAATTTTCATTTTTAATTATTCTATATTAATTTAACTTTAATTAAGTTAAAAATTTGAAAATAATTCATCTTGATGTATATTTCAGTTATTGTGAAATATTTCATTAAAACTTAATAAATTTTAACTTTGAGTTTAAAACTATTTTTAGTTTAAAATATATTAAAAAATAATAATAAGAATTTTATTTTAATGTCTTCAATTTTTAATATTAATTAAATAAATACATAAATTATTTTTTATAATATAAAAAATGTTTTTCAATATTTTTAATGCATTTTTGTTCAATTTATTACAAAAGTAACAAAAAATTTGAAAAATTTTATTAAAATATACTCGTAAACATTTTATAAGATTTTCGTGTAGGCAAATAATAGAAATGCAATAATTTTCTGCATTTTAAAGTTTTTGAAGCTCAAAGTTAGCTGTCATTAGCTAACTAACCCAAAGCCGTATTTGACTTATATGTGCTTGCTCCTATTCCACAATTTATTCTCGAGCCATCCGTACAGATTGAGATATCGTAATTTGCTTGAAAGTTTTTCTTCTGCTTTCGTTCCCTGAATATTATCTGAAGATTTCCTTCAAAGTTTAGGCATGAATACAGATAATCTGAAGTCATCCTATACAGACAGTTTAGAACTGTACTACAATCCAACTATGTCCACATGAGAGTTTCGACCCGACGTCTGTCGCTTTCAACATAACGATATTTGCAAACTATATTTCTAATACAAAGATCGATTGGTAATATAATATAAAATATAATTATGTTATCTAGCATATCTTAAGTAAATAAATAAAACAACTCTAGAAATATTCAATATATCAAGAGAAAACAATCTATTGTAAAACTTATAAACCAACTAGTTTTATATCTTTGTGAATAGTCAATTTCTGACAGGCATAGTGATGAGCACTTTGTCGGCAATAAGAAGTGGACAAGATATAGACTCGCTTACTCTTGAGTTCTTGAACCTGTAAAACCATTGTAGCGCTTACGAAAGAGTACTAGTTTTAAATTTAGAATAAATAATTGATGATTTTTTATGAGTTGATTATATTAATTTTGACGTTTTTAGTTTAATGGTCTCACCAAAAATCATGAAAGCCTCTTAAACAAAATATATCTTTTTATTATATATATATATTTTATAAATCATTATATATATATATTTGTCTATGTAAAAGCAAATAAAACCTTATTAGTTTGTTTATTTTTTTTTATTTCAAACAAGAAAAAAATAATTACAAATCAAAGTTGTTCTCAAACTTAATTAGCTTTTCTTTTTATATAATTCCTTTGATGTAGGAATATCTTCAACGAAAAAGTTTGCCGGTATAATGTCAAATACTTTGTGTAAAATATCAAATAGTACACGTTCAACTGTCTCTGAAATCAGAGGCCTTAAAGCCTCAAAGAATTCAGGCCATTTTTTATTGAAAAATTGATTTGTGCTTCGCTCTACTTCTAAACTTCTGCCATTGAATAAATTATCGAAATAGGTTTTCAAGCCACCCAGATTAAGATCCACGCGTATATTTGTAACATTGTAGAATGTAAAGTTGCCTCTTTCAAATAAACGCGTCTTTGTATGCATTATTATATCCAAATTTTCTATACAAAAATAATAATATTTTTTTTTATATATTAATATACTTTTATTAATTAGATATATGTTAAATCAGTACTGTTTCTTTTTAATGTTATAGGCTTACCAAGTTCAATAAACATTTTTCCATTCCCACTCAAAGGTATTAACAGAATTCTTCCTTCCATCTTATAATTTCCGTCAATGCGAAAATGTGGTATAAATATTTTCGTTTCCCAACTGAAGTCTTTTTTACTTACTCTAAAATTAATAAATAAATAAACAATTAATTAAATTACCCATTAATTTATTTTTAATAATTAATATTTATAGTTTACTTACCGACTTTCTTTGATTTTAAGTTCCTTAAGACCTCTTACGAGTAAATTAGTCAAATTAGCTCTAATGGTAACGGCTTCATTGTTGTCCTGCTTAAATAAAAGTTGATCAAGTTTCATTGGATCAAGTGAACCAAATTCTTCCTTTAATTCCGGTAAGCTATTTGTAAATATATAACTCATTACACCTTGTATACTTTCAGTGGAACATTTTGTAAACTCTGGTTTATATATTGTACAACTTTTCAAATAGTCCGCTATAAATTAAAAAGAATTATTTAATTTAAAAATAAAATAAAAATAAAATATTTATCAGCTCAATATGTAACAGCCTAAATTCCTTCATATTTCTAGACTCTCAAAAAAGAGATATGTATCGCACAGAATAAAACACTTAACAGTCGTTGCAATTTAAGTAATAGTAAAGAGCTTCAGCGAGTAGGCCCAAGAAAAACTCGACTTTAAAATGACGTTGAGCAACACCATCAGCTCAGTTAGAATAGGGAAGAACTTCTCCGAGCCGTTTGATACCAAACGAGGTTTCAGATAGGGTGACTCCTTATAGTGTGACTACTTTAACCAAAGGTTAGATACGATAATTCGCGTATTACGTTTGTGGCACAGTATTCCACAAAAGTATAATGCTAAACACCCTCGCCAACTCTGCGGCATTTTCCGAATTAGAAAAACAAGAGAAGCAAATGGATCTTGTAGTGAATGAGGGCGAAACAAAGTACTTTCTGTCAATAATCAAATCTCCTAAGAGTCTTGAAACCCACGTAACTGTTGACAATTATAGATTCCAAGTTGTGAAAGATTTTGTTTATTTAGAAATCAGCGTAAACACCAAAAATGACGTCAGCCTAGAGATTGAACGAAAAATCACTCTTGCCAACAGATAGTACTTCGAGCTCAGTAGGCGATTGAGAAATAAAGACTTCTCTCAATAAATAAAAATCACGCTCTACAAGTCTCTTATCATGCTTGTTCTACTGTATGGTGCACAAGCTTGGACAATTACCAACAGTGATGACAAGGCATTAGAAGCATACGAGAGAAAAATTCTTCGGAGGATCAATGGAGCCCTACGCGTTGGCGACGTGTATTAAATTAGTTGTATGAGCTGTACCGTAACATTGACATAGTTAAGTGCATGAACACTTAGGGGTTGTGCTGGTTTGGTCATATCGTGCGAATGGAAAAAAATGCACCGGCTAGATTCGTTACGCGCAGGTGAAAAATGCAGTAGAGGACGCTCACATCTTCGGTCCGGGTTCAGATGACCAACGATTTGGGAGCACTCTGAACTCCCATCTGGTGAGAGCAAGTAACTGATCAGGCTGGTTAGCTTAGGCTACTCAATGCGACCAAAGACGACTCATGTCTATAATGGCTAACTAAGTAAGTAAGTAAGTTCAAGAAATCTATAGTCGCATTAAAACAATTCTGAAATTGTTACAGTTAATTCAGAACTTTGCAACAACGTCAGAAACTGCAACAACGTTAATTTAGATAAGATACATTTATATCAAGTCTTATTGTGTTGACAGTATTTTAACATATGCCATAATGCATATCGGCCATTGTTTTACAAAAGGAATGAATTTAGACAAAAATTGGCTTTATCACCTCAGATTTGGCTAATCCATTTTTATGATGGAAAAATTTTTAAAAATTTTTTTATCTGTTTCTTCATTAGATTTTCAGATCAGTTTTTAAATTTGTTATATCTCAGCCTCAGTAAATGCGGTCCAACGTATTTTGTATTTTAAATATAATTGACTGCAAATAGTTTAAATAATTAAAATTGAATTAATTTTTAATATCAGTTTTGACGAAATAAACTAAGTTTCTACTATAAACTCTTGTTTTTAATTGAGAGTTTTTTATCTAACAGTAATGAATCGCAACAACAAAATTTTTATTATTTTTATTAATTTAATTTTTGGCTGACCAAAAAGTTTTGAGTATTGTCAAATACATGTCATTAGTGAAGTTGACATTATATGTAATGTGTAAGTAATATATATTTATTTAGATAAAGTTAAGTATTTTATTAAAATTTGTAATAAGTTCAATAAGTTTTAATAAGTATTTTATAAAAGTGTAGATAACTATAAAAATAAAACTTTTGAGTTTTGTTCTCTAAACTATTTTCGTGATTCCATTTTAATTTGTTTGTAAATATCTTAAGACCTTCTATGACTGTTAGGAAAGGTATTCAACTGTTTAGTGCTTATTACATTATATATTAAGTAGAGAGATTTTCGAACAGTAGTGAACTACAACAACAAAAATTCATTTTTATATTATTTTAATTAATTGAATTTTTGGCTGACCGTACAGCTGTTTCGAGTATTGTCAAATACACATCATCTGTGGTCTTGGAAATAGTTCTTGTATTTAATTATTCGTAAATAATTTTTTGGGATTGCAATTACCAGGAATCAAATTCGTGCCCTGCCAAATTAGAAGCTTAGAGTTAGCGCTCCTTAACTGACTGACCAAAAGTCGTACTTGACTGTTATGTTCGCACATTTTTCTGGAGTTTTGTTAATTTACTGTGAAAGTTTTATTAACAAATTCACTTGACCAAAAGTCAAATATATTAAAAAGAATTGAGCAAAAAAAAAAAAAAAATAATTAGCTTTTAATTAAATAATGTATAGTGAAATTTGATCTGCATGTTGATATCAAGCATGTTTACATTAACTTTTATTATTAACTTTTAAAAAATTAGCAAAAAAAACACAAAGTTTAAAAGTTCTCAAAAACTATTAAAAAAAAAAAGATGAAAACTTCTCTTTTTAATATATAATTGCAAAAATTACATACGAATTTGTCGGATATTGTAGCAGAAAAGTAAAAATATCTGACTATGTTTCTATAGATGTTTATTTCGATAGGTAAATGACTTGTCAAATTATACAGCATATTTTATTCAATAGTCTATTCAAATAATAATATCATTGAGATTGATTTGTAAATATAAATGTTATATGATTAGTAAAAAAGTATTATTTATTTTCTTAACAAGGTTTATTGTAAATTTACAAAGTTAAT